TAATATTTTTCCATCCTTTTTTTAAAAAAATGAAATATACCCCTTTGAACAAATGTATTTTTTAAAAACCATTTTTTTTTATTCCTTTTCAACTTCATCCAATCATTTCTTTCACTGCTTTTTAACTTCTTCATTTGGATGTGTTTTACTTAAGGGATTGTGATAAGGTGAGACCTTTTACTTTTGATACGTAGATGTCACTATTATTCAACTTCTTCATTTGGATGTGTTTTACTTAAGAGATTGTTATACAATGAGATCATTTACCTTTGATTCATAGAGGTCATAATTATTTATAACCATCTTATGTAAAATCTGATTATTTGGATGTGTAACAAATTTCAAAAAAATTTCTTTTAAACTTTGAACTTGGTCAATGAAATAAATACAACCACCCAAATCCACATCTATTAATACCCGGTTAGGCGAGTTGAATTGACCGGTTTATTGATTACTCACACCCGCCTTTGGAGAGTGGTGCGATTTGTTTAACCAATGAGAGAGGGAAGGGTGAGATGCGTTAGTGGTGGCATGGGCTCCACAAATGACCACCAACCCATCAAATTGAATCCAAATAGAAACACCCCGACAACTTCCCTTGAGCAACGAGCGACGCCATTAAAAGGTGGTCACTTCCGGATCCTCCCTCCATTTCCCATTTCTTTAAACACAACTTGCCAACTTGATCTGTCAACTTTCTCTCACTAAATTTAGACACAAAAAGTCTCTTTCTCGATAAATTTAGAGAGCGAAAAGTAGGACTCTTCCGGTCTAGAGTCTACACACTGTGCAGTCACCTTTTTTGTTTTTGTTTTTGAATGTTACTGTGCAGTGCAGCTTGCCATGAAACAGAGAGTTGGGCCACCATTGATTAGATCTTTATCTTTAGTAATCCTGGTAAAGGTGCTCCCTAGCTGTACTGGAATCATCATCTCTTATCGTTTTCTGAAATGAGGCCGAGTTTCAATCCTTTCATGAACTTCTGCTTTTTGGGAGTGGCCCCGAACCAGTTGCAACTTGTCTCTGTCTCTCTCTTGACAAGAACCTCTCTCTCTCTCTCTCTCTCTCTTGACAGGAACCTCTGTGTCCCTCTTTCCTTTTGCCAAACTTTGATTATACATACAATACCAATTCCAAGCCCATAAGTGTTCCCATGGATCGATCTCCTTCTCTCAAGACAGTATTTTATAGTGAGCCTGAGAAAGCCCCTCGGGCTTTTGACCGAGTAACTCGGCAGAGTCTGAGTCCCGCTTGTCATTTATTATTTTAGAAATTAAAAATTAAAAAGTTGTTAAAAATTAGAGAAATTAAAAAAGGTAATAGAAATAATTGGAAAACCGAAGAAATGAATTGATTATTGAAAAAATCGATTTTTCTTAATTTTTTCAAAAAAAAAATCAAAACAAGAAAGAAAATAAAAGTTTCCAAGTCATCTTAAAGATATTAAAATCATCTGAAAATAGTATTTTAACTAATATATTAGTGTTTGTTAATATTTTGTAGATTTTTTAAAATTTTTAATACCTTTTACAATTTTGTTTATTTTTTGCCACTAAAAAGGTGGGACGAGTTATTTGAGCGTGTGGGGCTCCTTGGAACTGTTTGGATCCATCTCTCTCTTCTCTTCCGTTCTTTGTCAACTTTGATTTATCACGTTGTACGCCACAACGTTTAGAAGTTTGTACGATTCCGTTTCTGTTTCTAAAAGCTTAGTACCATTTAAATCCACGTCTCCCTCTATTTCTCACTACTTTTGGCAATTTTGATTCGAATATATTGGGAAACTTTCGAGTGTTTTATATGCTTTATGCCGTCTTTCTCTTTCTCTTTCTCTTTTTCTTTTTCTTCTTCTTCTTCTTCTTCTTCTTTACTGCCAAAAAAAAATCCAGAAATCTACTAAAATATCAGGCACGGCCGTGATATAGAAGCTTCTAGTACTCATATCGAGGAAACTGAGGAAACCGTTTGCCTGTACTTTTAACCGACAGATTCAATTAACCAATTCAAATTTTAAAAAAAATTTATAAATGATAGGAAAACATCTGAATTTTTTATAATTTATAAAACTCCATATCTTCGAGCTGATCTTCTTTAATAATTTATTGAGGGAAAAGTTTCTATACTTCCCATTCAGTATTGAAGATATATGCTTTCCCAGCCGTTCAATTTTGATCAAGAGAGCCATTCACCGTTTGATCTTAGATCCGATGTCTCAAAGTATTTTATTTTTAGTTTTTTTTTATACAAATTGTATGAATGTAAAAAATATTAAAAATATTTTTTCTATAAAATATAATGATCAAAATACCCCTTGAAGCTTTCAAAAGTATTTTGGTTATTTTATTTTATTGAAAATATGTTTTTTATATTTTTAGCTAAAGCGAGTTTAATAGAGGATTGGACGTACAAAATTGATGTCAAAATAGTTTATAAAAAAACAATTAAAAATAAAATACTGTTGAGACGTGATATTGTGATTGAGAAAATCTTAACCCTCCGTTGGTTGGATGGTTGGATAAGGACATGTATATAAATTTTATGCTGAAGAGGAAACCCATTTATTAATGCCTTTAAGCACCTAAAACACTTTCGACATGCACTCTTATCTCTCTCCCTCTTACCTTTATTTCAATAAATTAACGACCCGTCCCAAACTCTCTCTCTCTAAGTTTCCGGTTCTAAAATACTGCACAATATACACGTTACAAAGGATTCGGAACGGGGCCGATCGCATCAGCTTGACCTGCTATCCGACAGGTTAAATGACTCTGGGTCCGAATTGGAACTCGGATATTGGATCAAGCAAGTAAGGTTTGAATCCGTTTGACTTGGACCTAACTTAGTCCTCCACGACATTAATTAGTCAAGCCGGGGCTGGTTTCAACATTGGTTCGAATCTAGCCAAGTCGTGATAGGTCCGGGCCCAACCCAACTCAGACGCGTACCTGTACATGTCTTAGGTTTTTAGGTGCCAAAAGAAGAGCAGATTGGTCCTTTCTCATGAGAAACGGCCTGGTCTTCTTTTGTTTTCCTGGTCGCCATGCAATGACTGCGCGTGGCAAAATACATGGCACTTGTTCCCCGAAATTTCGGGTAAGGTAACGCCTTGTGTCTACAAAATATCACGTTATTTTTGGATCGAGGGTCCCTACTACAAAGAAGAAAGCCAGCTGTACGCGGCGTCGAGGCTGGCCGTAAGCGGTCACTAGACGACGATTAACAGCTACTTGTCTCAAGTACGATTCATGACGCATAACAACCTCAAAAGAAACCGAATCGTCTTCAAAAACATAATTTATCTTTCGAAAAAGTTTATATAAGTTACAACATTTTGTTTGTTTAGAGTAAGACATAAGGTTGCAACTTTAAAATGTAGAACTGGATATAGTTGTTTTAATATTAAAAATACTATAATTAATCAATTCGACATCAAGATGTATGAATATATATAAAAAAAAAAAATAATTTGTCCCAAAAATAATACATACTGTCTATTTTCAAGATTTTCATATGTTTATATATCCCACTAATGGGTGGAGAAAATGGCGTCCAATAAAATTTTCACTTTGGTTTTTGCACCGTGTTGGTAATTAAAAAAACAACTTATTTTCTCAATTACCACCTTTTCTCAGTTTGGGAATGAGAAAATAATGGAAACGCAGAGCCCTGCATTTCTCTCTCTATTTCCACGCTTTTCGCCAATGTTGGGGAAAACTCCAGCCGATTCTTCAAGAAAGAGGGGAAAACACGGGACGTTCCTCGTTCTCTTTTTATTTCTCTAACGTCACGATTTTCTCTCCCCTCTCGCTCTCTTTATGCCTAAGTTCTAGCCAGAGCTTTTTCCAACTTTCACATATATGTTTTTTTTTTTTGGATAATTCAGTGGGTAGACGGATCCGTACCTGTTTTTTTTCAATAGATCTGGAAGTTATATTTTGAAAGTGTTAATTAAGAGTGTTAGTGGTAGGAAAGGATACCACCATTGTTAGAAAAACCAGACGATCTAACCTCTAACCGTCCGGTTAATTCGGAACCGACCATTGATCGATTCCGGTTTTGGGTGGTTTTAATGATCGGCCAATATTTTTAAAAAAATTAAAAAATATGTATATAAATTCTCAAAAATAAGGAATTTGGTTTGTAATGTATTTTTTACATTATGGTAACGATTAAAAATTATTTTTGTCATTAATACTCACATTTTCATTAATTTTCAACTTCATTTGAATGTATTTTGTTTTAATCATTTTTTCTTTGCTTTACATATTTTAATAATAAAAAAATTTGTATAGGTTTTATTTTTTAATACCTTTTTGAATGCCTAAGACTTTGCCTAGATAGAAAGATTAAATCAACTGGTTTCTCGATTAGGCCGGTTAAATCGCTTTTGGGGCCATTTCCAGTGAACCGTTCCGATTCGATTTTGTGAACACTGGAAACCATGATGTGACAACTGGGTGTGGGGATGCTACCCTCCCCAATCCCTTTCCTAAAAAAGTGGTAAGTTAGTACGGATTTGGGCCCTACCCTTTGAAATCTCCACTTCAGTGAGAATGAAGTCAGAGACTTCACTATGAAGCTCAGCAATACTACCGCCAAGGCTCAAAACCTCATTATGGAACTCAGCAATTTAACCGCCAAAGCCCGAGACCTCACCATGAAGCTCAACAATACTATCGTCAAAGCTCGAGACCTCACTATGGAGCTCAATAATACTACCGCCAAAACCGGAGGCCATTCGCATATATGTTATCAACCAAAGTTTGCTGCTTTTACCTATTTCTTAGGCTTAGGGATTTAAAAAAAACAACTTTCTCGGTTATCAAACAAAACTTTAAAAAACTACTAAATTTAGTTAAGAATCTGTTTGACTTGTAATTTATTCATGAAGGGGTTGAAAATTAGATAGCTAGGGTCGGCGGGGCACCACACCATCATTCATGTTGTCTTAACAGCGAAATAAGCCGGACCGATCATGAAACTTATGTACGAAAGAAGAGTGAGTGAAAGCGCGCTTCTCAATCGCCGAAAATTCTTACCGAATATCTACCGAAATTCATACAAAGAAGCAATCAAATAATCACACACCTAAACAAACACCATCCTCACTACTTTTCTCATCACTCTCTTTGTAAAGACTTTTCTTTCTTAGGTCAACTGCAAAGCTATTATCGAAGTCACAGCAATTCGGTCTCCTCAGAGTTCGAACCCGAGACCTCCCAAACCCTGACCTCGCCACGACCGCACCCACTATACACGAACCACGACCCAAGTCCATGATCGAGCCCACCTTGGAACCCAGCTACTAAGGCCCGAACCGGCCCATGGTGCCCATCAAGCACGGCCAAGCAGATGTGCCGCCCGTCAGCCCCTCTTCTCCAGACCCTAACTGTCCGATCTGCGGAGCCACTAAACACCATCACTGAGCCTACTGTCAAATCCACCGAGCCCACGACTAGGCTCAATATGGCTCGCTTGTGGCCCCTTAAGGCACCGGCCACGCTCATGTATTGAGCACTGTCTTCTCGTTCCCAAACCAAAATTGAACGGTCGCCTGAACCAGAATAAAGCACTGAACCATCTGAGCTCAAGGCCAGAGCGTTAATAGCGGATTTGTGTCTTTCCAGAGTGGCCACAAGCTCGTGTCTTTTGGCCCCGTTTCTCTTTGTCCAAACCTTGATTCGTTTATCTGCAGAACCTGTGTATATGAAGCCTTCTTTTGAGACGGTAACCGCATTAATGGCGTCGTCATGGGCCTTTAGAGATTCCAGACATTTGTAGTCGGAGAGACGCCATATTTTTAGGGTTTTGTCCCATGAGACGGAGTAGAGAAACCCTGGATTAATGGCAATGGCGGAAACGGCGTCAGCATGAGAGATCCAGAGCCGTTTTCTATGGCGCCTAATCTGGACATAATTTTGGGGCCAGATGAAACGGATCAAGCGATCTTTAATGGTGGGGAGAGATGTGATCGGCTTTTGCTTGGGGCTAGTGAGGCTGAAAACCCTAATCTTTGAGTCTTGGAAAGCAATGAAGAGGCTATCGCCATCAATGGCTAGTGATTTCACCGCGCCGTGATGTTTCCCACAAGGGTTAGGGTTTCCTAGGGTCGAAACAAGAGCCAGATTGAGTTTATCTAGGGCTTGGATCTGGTTTCCGGAAGTACCTGTGTACAGGCATTTTCCGGCCAGATGGAGGGCCTGGATTGCACCAGAATTCAATTCGACAGAGGATATTAGCCGGAAATTAATAGGGGAGAGATTTTCCTGCGGTGTTGAATGTAATTGCAAGGACGCGACAGAGGGTAGGCTATAAAGGCTTCCTATGGATTGGAGGCTGGTTTCGGAGTTGAGTGAGGTTTCAGTGGAGCTAGGGTTGTCTGAGCTCGACCCAGAGGTGGAAGAGGAGGCTGGAGAATCTTGATTTTCGGGCGATAGCGACGATTTTCGGGCCATGAGAGTGGAGCAGACGGTTAACCAAGAGGGTACGGCCATTACAGAAGATCCAGTAGTCTTCGAGAGAGAGAGAGAGAGAGAGCGCAGAGAGATGTGGAGCTAGAAAGCCAGTGAGAAGAGAGAGAAGCTTGGCTTAAAGGGAGAGAGTAAGGTGGAGATGAGAGGCCAGGAGAAATAGAATGAGAGCAAATCATGAAAACAGAACGAAAGCTGGAGATGAGAGGGGAGAGAGAGACAACCAGAAAGCAAAGCGAAGGAGAGGGGAGAGAGAGAGGAAGAGGAAGAGGGGCAAGAGAGTGTGAGCTGAAAGACCATCGACATTTATGGAGAGCCCGACATGTTGCCACGTGGCGCGACAGGATTTAAAAGACCCGTATTTCGGTCTTTCCGAGGTCAAGCCCGACTCGGATAAACTAGGCGGCACAAAATTTCGGGAGATTTCTGCGCATCCCGAATTTGCGGAAATCTGGTGTGTAAAAATTCAGCGCATTTCACGAAAACTGGAGACATTTTACGCTGAAACTTTACCAAAAGCTGTCCTGTTTTCACGTAAAGCCCAAATCAATGGATAATAATAACCCTAAGCACAAGAAAGAGGACAGATATTTGTTTTGGGTGAATATCTCTAGATTAGATATAATACACATATTAGGACGGTAGGTTTGGCTTTAGTTTCTTATCAAAGATAAGCCATTCCCTTTTCTTGCAAACCTAATCTCATTTTTTTTTCCTCTTTTTTTTTTTTTTTTTTCTAAATTTCTTTTTTTGGAAAAAGATTTATATAAGGGTTGACACTTTAGAATGTAAAATTAATGTGCACCTCTAAAATCTTTATAAATTGATATTGGAAAAATATTGCCATTTCGACATCGAGATGTATGGATATGGAGAAAAAGTAGATTTTAAGTCATTAAAATTGTATATCTTGTAATATATGATCTAGACCATCCATTTTAAATGTTTTCATGCATTTATAGATCGGCTTGACTTGAACTATTTTTAGAATTTTAAAAAAATTATAATTAGAAATAAAAATAGATTCGCTCATTATTCTAAGAATTTTGACGACAAAATTGCATATCATCACAAAGTTTGAGGGAGCATTGACTATTTTAGTTTGCAACCTTATGCAAACTACACTTTCGTTTTGGCGAGGAAAGGAACAGTTAAGAACTAAATTCTATATGATTTGGACAGGAGAGATTGAAAAGCCTAGTAGCAATTGATAATATAATATGTTGATTATCACTTTGGTTCAATCTCAGGAAATTCGGTCGAGTAACTCGGACTCTGCACTTTAGAGTACAAACTTCACAATTAAATAAAAGGTTTAAATAAGATAGAAATAAATTCATAAATAAGTAATGTATACTACTCGGGCAAGTTGTCCAAAATAACTCAGCTCTGGCAAGGGCTCCATACAAGGCCCAAGCCGAGTTTCAGAACATTGGTTTAATTTGAAAATTTACAGCCCCTAAAACCCCAGGAAAATATAAAGCATTAAAAAAAAGGCCCTCATTTATGGATTCAAAATCTTAGAAGAGCATCCTTTTCATTTTAATATAAGCACAATTTGCTTATTTTGTGTTTTGAAAAGCTTGGGGGGGCTCCAATATGTGGCACTGTGTATCTAAAGTCCTGGTTGGAGAAACCTTTATTCGAACACCAGCACGAGGAAAAGATCTTTCTTCCATATCGAAGAGCCTTACTTTTTAACTTTCAAAATAATAATATAAAATATCCAAAGTACTCCTTACTAAAAGTTTTGCCCAAGAATTTTATTAGAGGAAAAGTTTATATAGAGCCGAGGCTCTAAACAATCAAATTGGAGCCTATATAAAAAATTTCACTAGAATAGGTTGTTTTGATGCCCAAATATCTTCAAATTGATTATCTCGACATTAGGATGCATGGACATGAGAAAAAATTGGATTTTAAGTTTTGGAAATAATATATTTTCTAACACATCTTTTGACCGTCAATTTTCAAGATTTTCGTAGATCGGTCGATCTACACTATTTTTTAAGTTTAAAACTTTATAAATAGAGATGAAAATATATTTTTAAGCTACTAGAAAGATTTTCAGTATTGAAACCTTATTTCTCATCACCATTTGAAGGTAGGATCTAATTTGATTGTTTAGAGCCTAAGCTCTATACAAACTGCACCAATTAGAATTATGGCCTAGAATTATGGCCTAGCGCCTTGCCGTCCATGAGTTGTTCTCCAGGGCTTCTTACCTTCCAGACTTAATATGCGTAAAATATTGTATGATAACTAGGATCGCATTTATTTTTCTCACGTTTATTTTATTTTATGTTTTTCCGCTATTGCTCACCTGTCCGGTAATGATACTAGACAAGAGGGAAACTTTACCAAATTTGTTTATCCAACATTGTAAACAACATACAGAGGTTAAGTGTTTGGTATTTGCAATACTAGACAGGCACCATTTCTTCCCCGTCATTTGATCTCTCTCTCTACATAGAGCTTTGTCTCGGCCTGGAATGGTTATCCAAGGTCTTAGCTCTATTGTGTTATCTGCTTCTCTGTTCTGCATTCAATCAGGTCAGGATATTTTTGTCAAATAGAGGGGCTGATTAAGCAATAGATCTAAGACTTTGGACAACTGTTCCAAGCAAAAAGAAAGCTTCGAGTGGAGAGAGGAAAGAGAGCATAAAGAGAGATACCTATGTCAAATGATACATGCGTGGTTTGGGACTCCTAACTGAGCTTGTCCGGTCTTGCAAATACCACACACATGATAACTTTTGTCCGTTATTTATAAAATCTAAGGTGGGATTGCCCGAAAGATAGGGTTATTAAGCAGCAACAATATCTCTCGTCATGTAAAATTTTTTTTAGTGAAGTTACAATGTTTCGTCATGTAAAATTTTTTTCAGTGAAGTTACAATGTTTCCCTCTTGTTCCAATGTTGTCATTGCCATGTAGGTAATTTTGGAAAAAGAAAGGGCCTGCCTGTGGGGAATGTGCACTTTAACTTTTGCATAAAAAAAAAGTTTCCCAAATGGTCATAAAGGAGGAGAATTAATGCATGTACATAATTTTCTCTAATAATAGTGATGATGATAATTATGAAGGGTATGGTCTTGTGTAAGTTGTCAACATTGAACAATCAAAATAAGGTGCACATCTAAACTTTGTCGAAAGCCGCTTTTTGATGCCAATATTTGTTACGATGGCTTAAATATCTATTTTTATTATTAATTATAAAATTTAAAGCTTGATTTTATAAATATTTAAAAATCTTAAAAACAAACAATCCAAATAACTCTTTTTAGCACTTGAAATCTATATCTTTTATATTCGTATTCATACATTTTGAGCTGAAGATGATGAATTAGTGGATTTTCTAGCATCAAAACACCCTTTTCCAAAGGGCTTTACCCTTTTCCAAGGGGCATTTAAGGTATATGGTTGATATCTTATACAAACTTTTTCCCCAATAGATAATCTTATTCAATACAAGTGAGACAAGTTAGTTAGTCAATACGCATTTGATACCAAGATATTTTGGTATTATATTGGGAGTGATGAAGGATATTTTCTTAGTAGAAAAAACTATGTGTATCAGTTTTCACTATGCTAGAAAATTATATTTTTATAGAGAAATGCACAATTGGTCATAGAGCGCCAAAACAAAATTAATTTTTTAAAGTGAGGAATGCACAAAATTGGGCATAAAGCGCGGTTCTATCAATTTGGAGAATAAATCAGTGCCGGGACAAACCTTGTTTTTGATGTTACTGATATTTTAATTTATATTTTACATGGAAGGAACAAGCAACAGGAGTTGTCCTGATGTGGCTATTGTCGTTGCTTCCACTTGAAAACCCATGATTTCAGCATATATATCTATATAAATAAGGAACAATTCTTATTCTTTCAAGAGTGGCCTTGGATGGGAAATAACTTTTCTAATGACCAATTTGTCCCAAAAGAGGCCATATTAGATGTCTGTGGTCTACATTATAAAAGGAAAAAGTTTATTTAAGATTGCAACCTTAAAATATAGAGTTACAGATTCACCTAAAAGTCCATCGGAAAAGGTTGTTTTAATGTTGAAAAGCCTTATAAATGATTATCTCGACATCGAGATGTATGAATATGAAAAAAAAACAAGAAGATTTTGACTCCCAAAAATAGTGCATCTTGCAACACATTACCTAGACCGTCTATTTTCAAGATTTTCATATATTTATTGATCTACTTGATTTTAACCATTATTGGAGTTTAAAATTTTATAATAATATTAAAAATAGATTTGCAGATAATCCTAATAATTTTGTATACTAAAATTACATGTTATGATAAAATTTGGAATTGCACCTTAATTGGATTGTTTAAGGTTGCAACCTTATAGAAACCACGCCCATTATAAAATTAGTACATATGTCTCTCTCTACATATTTTTTTTTTCCCCTCTATTGTTCTATGTCTTTTACTTCTGTAGTCAAGATATTACAAATTACACTTGAGAGTATTATTTTAAAATTTTTATATCAATTATGTACGACCATAAAAAGAAATATTGAAAATTTTTCAAATTGCCCTTGTTCAGCATTGAGAAGCTCAAACAATTAGATATACTGCAATATTTTTTCCTAAATGAGGCTTTAATGAATTGATAATTCAGGGAAAAATTATTAAATTACCCCTAATAGTCTTGGTTTCTCAAATATCGAATATACCTTATTGATTAAGGGCAAAATTATTAGGAATTTTTTTAATATTTTTTTTAGAACATACCTTATTGTTATAGGAATTTAAATACATTTAAAAAATAATTTATAATTATTTTGACAACTTTAATGATATTTTAAGAGGGGGCGAGTAAGCATCAGTCTATAGCAATTTTCTGGCGCATTAACTTCTAAAGGTTCCATCCTCATTCATAATTATTGTTTTTTGGGTGAATATTTCATATAATGAAAGTTATCGGTAATAAATTGCACTCTTCTTGTTTCCTTAATGAGCGATTTGGAAAACTAGGACCACAAACTAGGTGATTTTCATTCTTATTGACACCACCCCACTAATATCTTCAAAAAAAACTAACTCTTACACTATTTGAAAAAATAGACAGGGTCTATCTTCCCACTGAATTACCCCACAAACAAAATAGGACCACTTGAATAAGATTGAAACTACAGTTCACTTCTCATGGCGTGAATGCAACATTGATACTCTAGTGATGCATAAAGCATATGAAATGAGTATCCAATTTATGGAAATGTATACAATGAGACCATTTAGTTTCTATGCAATATCACAATCATAATTGATC